AAATGGCGGCCGCTTTAAGGCCCGAAAATGCATGAAATCGCACATTTTCACCATTCCGGACCCGGATCTCAGTTATGCATGGACGGATTTCATTCAAATTTGGTACATACATTAAACATAATAGGACCTTGATGCACGTCATTTTTTTTTTTCGGATCAAGTTCGAAATAGCCGACTGGCGGCCATTTTGTTTTAAAGAATTCAGTTCTGGATCCGTATCCGAGACATGTCTGGATTGATCAAGTTCAAACTTCACACACACAAGGTACATCATGTCACAAATATGTATGTGCATTTGTTTCATGATCTCATTAACGATAGCCAAATGGGGGCCGCTTTAAGGCCGAAAATGCATTGAAATCGCACATTTTCACCATTCCGGACCCATATCTCAGTTATGCATGGATGGATTTTGTTCAAATTTGGTACATACATTAAACATAATAGGACCTTGATGCACGTCTTTTTTTTTTTCGGATCAAGTTCGAAATGGCCAACTGGCCGCCATTTTGTTAAAGAATTCAGTTCTGGATCCGTATCCAAGACATGTCTGGATTGATCAAGTTCAAACTTCACACACACATGGTACATCATGTCACAAATAGATATGTGCATTTGTTTCATGATCTGCTTAACAATAGCGGAATGATGGCCATTTTAAGGCCGAAAATGCATCAAAATCACGTATTTTCACAATTCCAGAACCGGATCTCAGTCATGCATGGATGGATTTTGTTCAGATTTAGCACAATGTGTTGTACATATGCAGGTGCATTTCGGTCATGATCTGCTTTGAATGTATATGTCACTCAAATATGAACGGAACGGGGACGTGTCATTGACAATGACTTGTTCTTTTTAGTAATAAAAGATAACTTACTAATATATTTTTATTTTCATAGGTTGAAACCATGACTGAGTTTCCAACTTCTGCGGAAGATAAATTGGAATCAGTACCTATTCCTGCTGCAATTATTACTAGTGCTGTTGAGACAAATGATGCTGCGTCATCATCATCAGCACTACTTATTACAAACGGCAATACAAATGAAACAATGAAGATAAAACAAGAACAGGTACAGGAAGAATTAAAGAAACTTACAAAAGAAAAGCAATCTGATGTGCCTTTATTAAAAGCCTTATGCAATGATAAAACACTATTGGCTTTAGCTGAAAAACAGGACACTTGTGAGCCAGATGGAACACTGCCAAGGAATCTACCTGAAACAGACAGTCATACAAGTAGTACAAGTTCTACTTTAAAAGAAAGAAACTCTAGAAATGCATCTTTGAATACAATTATTGTGGACAGTAATAGTTCAGTAGAATCAGATCACTGCAAGACAATTGACAATTATCATGGTCTAAATAAACATCACACTTTACCTGCCTTATCAGGAACATCAAGACATGATTATGATAAAAATCTACAGGTGGATATATCATTAGCTGATGGCATAATGAAGTGTCAAACACTGCCAGCAAAGATGAATGCAGGAGGAGGACATGTCATACCATCTGGTGCTGATCCAGAAGACATTTATAGAGATGATGTGACTTCTTTCTCTGCACCAAATTTATCACCGCAGCCATTGGTTGTCAGTCCTGGATGTTAAAAATCTTTACTTACATCTTTATGTGTATTTGTTAATTGTTTATTCTGCTAACATTACTGTCCTTACTTTTGATTTGATGGTGTGCTCATCAATCTTTTGTTTGATGTAGGTGAACTATAATTGAGTTACCAAATACACTTATCACAATACTTTGTACTTCATCTATGGCATTATCATCTATTGAAATTTCTTACTATGTCTAGTGTAAACAGAAGTGTGTTTTATTTATAAATATATATTATAAATTATATATTGTTATTCTTGAACCTTTTTTCTCTATTCTTAATCCATTTTCTAACAAACTTTTTTATTTGTATGTATTGCTGAATCTTATGTTTTCTAGCTGACCATATTTTGTATGTTTGTCCTGAGTGCTGTCCTTCTACATTGGCTGTCTTGTTTAGGGCTTAACAGTAACTGATTTTTATTACTTGTGTGAATTGCACATATTTATCCATCTTCTCAGTTGCCAGAGATTGGGTGGTCAAATATTTTAACTTAAGAAGCTGCACAAGCATAACATTTTATCTTAATTTTGTTGTTGTTGAGCTCACTTTTCTTAGAGGTCTTTTTTATAATATCGATTGTGCCACTGATAATTTTTGCTTCTACTTTGCAAATATGTGAAACATCACATAAAAAATATGACTCTATTTTAGCTATTAAAAAAAGATGATATTTTAAAAGTAGATATCCTGGCCTTACTTTCTGCTCATTTCATTTTGGAAGTACTGGAGTGTCTCATCCCTTAGAAAACATACCTACATGTATAATGTAACTGGACTTCAAGGACAAATATATCTTCCTAGCTCTGTGAATGTCTGTTGTTTACAAATCTAGCTTACTTAATTCATATTGTGCAGTTAATATCTGCATTACCTATTCACAATCTCAACATTTGATGGTGTATGTATTGGTCAGTGGATGCACCTCACTGATTTGCAAAGTGTGAATGCAACTCTTAAGTGCAATTTTTTTACTGAAAAAGGGATATTTTTTTATAATGTAACATGAGTTTGTTTTGATAATGTCAGCCCTTTATCTAATTTTGTATGACTATTCAGTTGTAGTCCTCCCAGGTTTGGTAGGCTATAATTCACAAGAATATATACGCACAACTGAACAGCTTTCATGTACTTCTAGATATAACCTCTATGTTAACATTGTATTGTTGTTTGATTAGCAATTCGTATTCGCATCAGAAGTTTATTGCCAATAGCCAAACATCATCGAGCAGTTTCATGGATTCGATTATGATTCATTTTTCAGTATTTTAGGGTTTCACCAAATCACCAGGATTCTCGGTTCAACAATAGATGGATTTTATTTCAAAATCAATATACTAGTACTGTGAATTATTTTTCTTAATTATCTAGGAAACACACTAGACTCTTAAGAGAAAGCTGCTAGGACTGATAAATATAATATATAGAAAATGGTAGTAAGTAATCATGGTCCTTTTTAATTATTCAAAATAACTACACGTTTTGGAATGAATAAACAGTTTATATCATTCCCTATGAAAACCATGTATAATTTATTCTACTATTCTAGACTTTAACGTTTTGCTGTTCTATTTTCTACAATTGCTCTTTCAATAGGTGATTTTCCGTACAATTGCGAGATCTTCGCGAGATGCATGAAAGACGCGCGTCGAACGTCTGCCGCAAAAATCGAACGATTTGATTTTGAACTCGAATTTCTTTATTTCGTAGCTCACATCGACCGGCCATCTCGACAGAGGAATATTGCTTCCAAATACCCTTATTTAATCGAAGTTGCCTATCATCAAATGTGGACAGCACATTATTAAGCATGGAAATGTCCCCCAAAATACTTTCGCGTTTGTCGAATCCCACACAATGTTTGACGCCACTAAGGCGCTATGACCTTTGTTTGTCCTGTTTTTACGTTCGATTTCACGCATAACGCGTGATTCTCGCAGTGAACGGAAAATGGTCTATTCAGATCCAGAATTAAGAAAGAATACTCGAAACATCTGGTTATATTACTAAGGACTATGATTACGTACTACCATTTTCTATATATTTAGACTTTTGACTTGTTTCCTGTATAGTCATTAGGTCTTTCCCTTTTGAATGTATAGGATGATTATTTCACTTGATATATGTCACAGTACGCTGTAACTTCCAGATTTTATTTTTTGGCCAATATGTTAAAATTAAATAGGCTTTCAGCTAAGTTTTGCAGACATTGCAAATTTAAGGTCAAGAACAAATTGCCATCATAGAACTAATAAAATCTATATGTAAAAATATTGAAAGTATAACATTATAATTTAATGTGTAGAAAGAAGGTAGACAAGATTGCACACATAACCCAACCTGTGAATTAAATCCTACCAATAATCAAGATACTAGTAACTGATGCTCTCTTTGGCAATATTCATTGTGTACAATAAGTATGATATTCTTCAGTTATTTTAAAACTGAACTATCTTATTCTGTGTCTTGGATTGAACCTGTTTTGATAAAGCAATAGACTATTTACTAACAAAAATGACAGTAACATACTGTGGGTTGGTGTCTTGAAAAACAACCCTATTTACTTGATGGACCCACAACTTTAGAATTCATCCCTATCTGTAATAGTCTTTGTGTGTCCTGTAATATTCATTGCCAAAGAAATAATTCAGGGATGAAATAGATGACCACTTTGAATAGTATGTTTTCACATACATTATATTTATTTATCAGTCCAAAAACAATTCTTTAACAATCATGTTTATACTAATAATGTATTTATATTACAACTTTTTTTATTATTTGTACAGATATTATATTTTATAACTCCAGTTATAAATATTAGCCTTTGCAAAACTTTATATGAACTATTGTCTAGTTAATACAAAAGTACATTTAATGGCTATGCAGTATGTACATGTACCTATTCAGGTTCTAGTGCTTTTAATAAAATAACTGTACATTTTGTGCTTCAAATGTAGTATGGTATTGTGATTGTGTTTCGTTGCTTTGTTTCTTCACTGGCAGTATCAAGGATGTTGAATACAGTTTCACAAAACCATTTTTGATAACACTGGGAGATTATTCTATTCTGTAATTTATTACCCGTAATACACATCAGGAGTTACTGACCTTGTTTTAGAGAAAATCCTATGTTTGTATTATGCACCTGGATGTATGTGTGGGTATGGGCAAGTTAAGTGGTACAGCGGAAGCCCCAAGACATTTCATTTGCAAATGTGGTATTGTATCAACATGTCAGTGCAGTTCAATGTTGGTGTGTTTAGTATCTACATTTTTTGAGATAAAGTTGGTCAAAATATGTCTTTGAAATTTGCTTTAACTTAACATACACTGTATACTTGATAAGCGTATGAGATGATTTATCTACTTTCACTATCTTGGCCATACATAGACAACTATTGTTCAAACTTGCTTACATACTGTAAAACATTTCTTTTTCGCGAGCGAGTATGTCCCTTTCGCGAATTTAGCGAGAGAACTGATTCGCTTATTCAAGATGTCGCTAATGACTTTATTATAAATTCAAAACTGCTGCCAAACAAAGGAATCAACAATGACAAGAGGGATTCGCTAAATAAACATTTC